AACTAAAGATGTGGTGCTCCAGTGGGGAGAAATGCCTACTTCCGTGGGTAGGTCAGCCCTTCCTCTTCACTTGCACAGGATACAAGTGACAAGCAAAATGAGGAGTCGAGAATGTTGAGATGGAGTCATTAGGGATTTTGTTTGTCAAAGGAGATTTCTCTCAGTTAGATAAGAGATACAGTTACTAAATTTCTACAGTTTGGTCCTCCATAATAAAAGCAAGTGATTTCCTGAATATTTAAGCTCTGTTTTATCTCAAGTATAAGATAATATAAGCTATTGTGCTGATGGGATACTGTGTTGAGTGGAAGAGGGGCTGGGTACAGAGCTGGGAACACTCGGGTTGCTCTTCTGGCTCTGCTGTTGCTCAGCTCCACGGCCCATGGAGGCAAGCTACTGCCCAGCTCCTCACCCGCAGAAATCAGAAGTGATACTTCTTGTTTAAATTACTCAGCACTTTGTAGATGAAAATTAAAGGCTACTGTCCCCGCAGGCACACTCCTGGCTGCCTGAGCCTCTGGCAGAGCTCTGCTATTTATCTTTGTAGGCTTTGGGTAACAGTTGATGAGGGTTTTTCTGCCTGGTGCATAGTATTTAGCTCAACACACGTTGTAACACCTACCAAACGCTTCCTTTTGACAGCCTACATTCATTCCAATCAAATAATGGGCTGGGGAGAGAAAGCTATTGAAATCCGGTCAGTGGAGACAGGACATTTGGATGGAGTATTTATGCACAAGCGAGCTCAAAGGTTAAAGTTTCTATGTGAAAGAAATGATAAGGTAAGTCCACTTCAAAGCTTGTGTTCCATGCTTTAAGCTACAGGCTACTTTCAGACTTCAAATCTGATTTATTTTGGGTTTAATAATTAATCTGAAGGTCCTATTTAATAAGCAGTGCCCATAAACCACCCCAATTAATTCTCTAAAGTGGATGCAGACCTCAACCTGCGGTGGGAAGATCTCTTCCACCTCTTGCTGAGGTCTACATTGACTTGGCTAGGCTCTCCCAAGTCTTGCATCTGATCATTAACTGTTGAGGCTGCTGAGTAAACCCTGCAGAAGTTGAGAAATGGTGGCAGTAAGGATGTGTGAGTGACCCTGATTTGAGCTCTTGTGCAGAAACATTTTGATGCATTTTTTAGACACATTTTGATGCATCTTAGAAACTGTTTTCCCCATGGAGCCCCACTTTTTCTGTGTACAGCACTGATAAATTCTGCTCTGGAGAGTCACCAAGGTTGCGTGGGGAATGCAGCTCCCATGTAGATGACCCCTGTCATGGATACTGCTGATGGGCAAAGGGTGCAGGGAATGAGGGAATGAGAAATTGCCAAAGGAAAGAGAATGTTTGCATGGAAGAAATAGTTGAATGCCAAGGTCTGTTTCTGTTCTTGGTATTTGCTCGTCTCACAAGGTTTCACCAAGATGAAACAGGACCATGCAGCAGACTTCCTTTGTAATGAGCATGATCACAAAACATGTGAGGAAGGTGATTGCTCTGTCCCCAGAGCAGGGTTTAATATTGTGCAATAAAGAAGGTTTCAGGCCACGTTGAGTTATTGAAGTCATTGCTTATTAGTTGAGCATTGCCCTACCTGTTGCATGGAGTTAGGCTGGAACTCTGCAGGAAAAACAGATCCTAACTTTGCAATTGAGTTTACCACAGGAAGCTGCCTCAAGAAGATGCATTTTAGTTGCCCAAATATCCCTAATTCACTTTTTTCCTGATTTTGGAGTACTTGACTCTGCAGGCTTTATACTGTTGGGGTTTTTTTAAAGAGTTATTTTTCTGGGTTGCTCCTGTTGATTTTTTTTTTTTTTTTGTCCTTTTTCTAAGAAAACTGGGGGAAAAAAACCCACCTCAATCTTTCTAAAATACTGGGACCAACTGATCACTGGTGGGTCTGAAATACTAAAACTGGGGGGCCTACAAGAAATCTGCAGAGGGACTTTTTACAAGGGCCTGTAGTGACAGTGCAAGGAGGGGTGGCTTTAAACTGACAGAGGGGAGATGTAGACAAGATATTAGGAAGTAGTTCTTCCCTGTGTGGGTGGTGAGGCACTGGTACAAGTTGCCCAGAGAAGCTGGCTGCCCATCCCAGGCAGTGTGCAAGGCCAGGTTTGATGGGGCTTTGAGCAACCTGGTCTAGTGGAAGGTGTCTCTGCCCATGGCAGGGGGTTGGAACTGGGTGAGCTTTAAGGTGTCCTCCAACCCACACCACTCTGTGATACTATGAAAGTCATGTGAAGATTGGGTAATTTTTGGTTTTAAAAAGGACAGAGGCTTCCAATAGTCCCTTGCAATATTTGCAAGTTATAACTTTATTTTTTAAGCCTTCCATTAGGGTCAAATGTTAGGTGAATCCTAACAGAAGCACCAAAACCTGTATTCTTCATACAGAGTCTAGTCTGTGCTTTGAGCATATTGAAGGAAAGTAGTTTTCCCAAGCTTTACTTTCAGGAACAGCTGAAATACCAGGACTAACTTTTCTGAAGAAAACCGTTTCACATCGATGCAGATGTTTACCCAAATGGTTAATGTTTAGCACGCGACAAACCACTGACAGCACCCTTCTTAATACTGCATAATAAATGGTGCTGTGTAAAATGTGATAAAGCTCAGTATTTTTATTGCTGTGTTTACTAATAAGTGGTTTGATTTGATCTGAGTCTGGCATGGGTAGCTCCGGTCCCTGAGCTCTGTGGAGAAACAAGAACATGGCAGTGGGTCCACATACAATTTCTGCTGTCAGCTGGAGAAAAGGAGCAGGGGGGGAAGTTCAGGCAGAGGACACCACAGAGTGTGGGGCAGCTCCCCCTTTCCTTGCTCATCAAGACAATTAACAGATAAAAATCACTAATAAGGGGGGTTTTGTGTTTCCAAACAGGTATTTTTTGCATCAGTGAGATCTGGAGGAAGCAGCCAAGTGTTTTTCATGACCCTCAACAGAAACTCCATGATGAACTGGTAACAGAGGAGCACTTGGTAGTCACCACCATGGCATTATTTCTAATTTAAAGGACATTAAACACATGGACTAACACTGTAGAGGCAGATGTGGAGGGCACCGAGGAACATTGCTCCCCACGCTCGCCCGGCGCCGTCAGCCCTGGGGCAGGGGCTGTGGGCAGGGATGGACTTTCGCGCTTGGACCCCCCAAGGTCTCCTGATTACGCTGTGTTATAGTGGGTTATGAGTTCTCCCTTATTTTATTTCAATTTTTTTTATTTTACTTTGTCCCCTACTTTGTAAGAACGGGGGAAGAAACAGTGTCCAGAAGTCTGTTTTTAATTCTGTCTGCCTGCTAGCATCAAATATATAGTATGTTGTAAAGTTACCAATTAAATCTGGTGAGAGACAGCACAATAAATGTACCTTTTATCTTTGTGATGAAGGCCATAACCATATAGCTGGGTAATTTTAGAAATCTTTTGCCTTCACCAACATTTACATGTTGCTTTTGGCAGCAACGGCTTAATGGATTTTTAAAGAAGAGAAAAAATAATAGTTTTTTTTCCCCTCTTTTGGGAAATGGATTTTAAATGGCTAAACTACTAGCCTTAGACTAATAAAAATCAGCTACCATTTTTGTCAAGTTTGTCAATCCATATTTCTATATGGATCTTCACATAATGGTGTGTCTTGATAGGAACAGAGGTGCCATTTGCTGTTGCTCCAGCAGTGCCCGTCTGCCCTGGGGCTCAGCCACGGGTGCCAGGATGGGGGGATCGGAGGAGAGGACAGTGGAGCGGTCGGAGGAGCCCCGTGCTTGCCCCTGAGGTGGGATTTGCAGCCACAGACAGCTCCCGGGATGCTGCAGGTGCTGGACCCTGATGCCGCAGCCGGTGTGGGCTGTGGGCACTCGTCCCCTCCTGATCCCAGAGCCACGTGCTGGTGTGCAGAGGCAGCCAGTGTGGGGATGGGGACCACGCCACGAGGTGCCTGTCCCCCGTGTTGCTGGATTGGGCTTGTAAAGAGCTTAAAAATATATATATGTGTGGTTTCTTCGGACGAGGGTCTGAATCTCTACTCGTTTTCCACCCCCTCCGCTCCCTAGGAATTACCCAACATACAGTGAAAGACAACATCTGTGCCGAACCGTGTGTGTGTGCGTGTGTGTGTGTTTAGTTCAGGTTGAATCGTGTCCTTATAAACTCTGCTCAGTTGATTTCCGTTTTCGGTGCGTATCTGGGGTTTTCTTTCTCAGTAGCTGCAAGCATGGCCGCCTGTGGTGTTGGGGTGTCGCATAACAAGGTCTGTGTTGCTGGTTTTAACCTACCTCGTTTCGGTTGGGGTTTGTTTTTTGGTTTGGTTTCTTTTATCTTTTTTTCCGTTCCGCTGTCGATCACAGCGCTGTTACCTCCAGCGACATATAGAGAGCTTAACTGGCAATCTTGGTGTACTCAGTAACGATGGCTTTATTAAAAAATGATTAAATCAACAGGACTTGGTCACACTCGAATCTTTATCAAGGGTAAGAGGTGATGTGGGGTGGCGGGTATGGGATGGGCCACCCTCGCCCAAAGCATCCCACAGGCAGGGCATCACAGTTTGGTGCCAGCAGGGATCGCTGCAATGGGACTCCTGGTGGGACATGGTGTTCGGAGGAGCACGGGCAGGAGGGGCTTTTGGGTGCCTTCTTCACCCACCAGGCAACCTCCCACTGTGCCAAGCACAACCTGCCTAGCGCCCAGATTAAGTGCCCTGCAAAGCACAGGGACAGCCATGAGAGCACAACACTCAAACCACGTAAAAACCCATCTGAGCCCCATCACAGACACTGATTGCCAACAGCTCTTTATGTTTCAACTGTGGTTAGCATATAAAAGCATATAAAATTATGTTGCAAACTAGTAACTGGTTTTGGGTGTTTTGTCCCTCTTGAAGTGACAAATACACAGCTTTGGAAGATGATTCTTTTATCGTAGGGTTTTGGGTACAGTGACAAAACAGAAGGGGATCGTTGTGTTTACACATAAGGTAGTTTGTGATTTCTGAAAATCTTAGCATCAGTTGAGACAAAAATAACAAAAAACTAGTATTGAAGGAGGCTTGTCTATGGAGTGTGTATCTGAGCATACCGCAGAGCAAACACATTTCTGGTGCCAACCACAATAAAACACAAAACTTCAACATTCAGCCATGCCTTTTCTGTTTTGGTAAATAAAACCTGGGGTGTTCAGCAGGTGATGGAGGTCAAACGGCTTTTCAGGGCTCCAAGTCACAATTCCCTTTGCCTGGAGGTCTTGGTAAAGCAGTGGTTTTGGGCAGGATGAGTGCGGGTGTACAGGTATGTCCCCAGTGATGCTGCCTGGCAGCGAGCAGTGGCCGAGGAATGTCTCTATGAACCATCACCACCTGGAAACTTGTGCTCTTCTACAAATTCAACCCTGGATTATTACAAAGATGTGCTTTCGTTTGCTTCTTTTATTGTAAGTAAAATATGCTTGATCAATGCTATCGGAAACTACTTAGGTTTAGTGTTTGAGGAAATAAAACATCCGGCTCCTTGTAAAACCCTGCTTCTGGAAGTTTTCACCTGGGAAAGGAAACAAACTTGTTTAGTGGAGAGGAACTGCAGGAGGAAAAAGAGACATAACATCTGTGCATGCAGGAGTCACTTGAGCCTGTTGCAGATTCAATTATTTACGGAGTTGCTGTCAAGTATTGCATGAACTGGAGGGACGAGTCATACCCTCCATGGTAAATGAAAGAAAAGCCCCGAGAGCTGGTGCGGGGCTGTGCTCAGTTGCTGGTTACCCCCAGCACACTGCAGACACTGGGGAGATGCTGGGTACCACTCCCAAAGTAGAAGATGCTCAGAGGTAAGGCTGTAGCATAGTCCTGGGATTTGCCAACGTGTTTCAAAGTGATTCTCGAATGGCATTTCTCTTGTTGCGAGATGGTTTGGGGGATGATCATACTGTGTGTTTTGGGGCAGAAAGGTGACTGGCCCTGGCCCGAGTTGGGCTGGTTGCTGGAAATGGTTGAAGCTGTTGTGCTACAATTCCTTGTCTCAACATGAGCCCATGCAGGTCTGTTGCTGCTCCTGCAGCAATTCGCATGTTGCTGCTATGTAATCGGGGCTAACATGAGCATCGTGTATGCTGGCCATGAGCAGCAGTGGGGGCTGACCTGCCTGTTCTGCATGTCCAGACCATACCATACTAGTGCCCAGGATGATAAGCCACCTGCCTGAAACACAGCTCTTCTGAGGAGACCCAGCAGAGATGTTCTTAGCAATAAGGATGTGGTTCAAGGCATCACAACCGCTGTGTCCCTGTGGCATCCATTTACTGCCCTGTGTACATGTGCAGAGCTGCTGCATCCCGTCCTGGCTGTCACCACCTACTGCAGAAAAGGTTTGCTGGGTTTGCTTCCCAATTTTTCCTTTCTGGGAGATGCTGCACCACCCAGAGCTGGGGGTGGGAAGGAGCCCATTAAACCCCCTGGTTTAGAGCCACTAGCTTTTGCTGGAAGGGTACAAGGCCGACACACCGGTATCTTTACAACAGTGCTGTAAATGCACAAAATTCTCGCTCTTGAATGTGTTTTGTCAGCCTGAAGCCCACACCCTGCAGGTGGCCCCAGCACTGCTGCCTGCTCTGGCTACTATGCACGTAGAGAGGAAAACTGAACATCTATCGTGTTCTTTTCATGCCAGGCTCTGATGTGCCACGAGCTTGTTCTTGTAAGGCCACAGCCTTATGGTCTGGCTTTTCCTTTTAGTTTTGGTTTCTGTTTGTTTTCTTTTTTCCTTTTTCCTTTTTCCTTTTTTTTTTTTTTTTAAGATCCAAGCTGCCTCTGACTGACCCAGAGAGGCAGTAAAAGGGGTGTGCAAATTACACTGGCCACTGAGAAAGCCTCACTGTGCTTCTGGAATCTTCAAATTCCTTCCACTGGTGTGACAGCATGTTCAGTTGTTCAGAAGCAAAGCCCAACCATAACTTTTTAACACGTTGCTTTTATCACACAGCATTCAGTTGTTCAGGAGCAAAGCCCAATTATAACATTTTAACATGTTGCTTTTATCACATAGCATTAGATTTAGCAACACCACCAATTATGCAATTTAGCAACACCAAAAAGCATGGCATTTCATCATCATAGAATCACAGAATGGTTTGGGTTGGAAGGGACCTTAAATCTCATCCAGTTACACGTTCCACGAGAGCAGGTTGCTCCAAGCAGCATCCAACCTGACCTTGAGCGCTGCCAGGGATGGGGCAGCCACAACTTCTATAGGCAACCTCTGTCAGGGCCTCATCACCCTCACAGGGAAGAACTTCTTCCTTATATCTAACCTAAATCTCCCCTCTGTCAGTTTTAAAGCCATTCCTCCTTGTCCTGTCCCTTGTAAAAAAAACCCTCTCCAGCTTTCCTGTAGCCCCTTTAGGTACTGGAAGCTGCTTTAAGGTCTGCCCAGAGCCTTCTCCAGGCTGAGCAACCCCAGCTCTCTCAGCCTGTCTCTGTGTGCTTAGCCACTTGCATAGAGACCCATGTTTGCCAGTGGCATGTTTCACCTCTGCATCACACCACATTCCCAGAATAACTGTGGGATCAATCTAGCCAGCTGAGCTGCTCCATTTGCCCTGGCAAGGAAAGTCCTGTGTGTACAAGGGAATAGTCTCTTGTGCAAGGCAGTGTCTGAGCTGACCAAATGCTCCTAACACCTTCGAACACCCTTCTTCTTTTTATCTTTTTTTCCTTCCTTTTTTTCCTTTTTTCCTTTTTCCCTTTTTTTCCTTTTCCCTTTTTTCCTTTTTTCTTTTTTTCGTTTTCTTCCTTTTTTCCCTTTTTTTATTTTTTATTTTTTCATTTTCTTTTTTCCCTTTTTTATTTTTTTTTTTTTCATTTTCTACTTTTTTTTTTTAATTTCTATTTTCTTTTTCCTTTTTCCTTTCCATCACTCTTAGGCCTCCTGCAGGTTTGTGTATCACTTTTTCCCAGCACTGCCAGGAGTTGGGTGACAAGCTAAGCAGCTCAGCTGGCATCAGCCTGCTGAGCCCTTGCAGAGCTGCTGCAGCTGGGACTCAGGCAGCTCCCACCAGCACGTAAGTGTGGCTGGGCTGCTGTAAATTGGGTGCTGAGGGTCCCCTGCAGCCACATGGAGCACACATGCTCTTGCCACCCTCAGACATAGCCAAAGATCATCTGAACATGGACAAAGAAAATGCAAACAAGCCCTAGGCTGGCAAACCTGGGTCACAGCAGCAAGGATCAGGATGGCAGAGCTAGCCTTGCAGGGAAGATGCTGCCCACCTTTGATCTCTGTGCCCTTAGTCAAATCACTTATCTGCTGCCTGGCGAGGCTCACCGGCCAGGGGATGGGTGGGTATTGCCCCTGATCTGCACTGCACTGATATCTGCACCCTATGGTCTGCAGTCTCACAACCAGCTGTCAATCACGCAAGAGATTTGATGGGCTGGTGGTTCAGGCCCAGTGTTCTAGGACAAAGGAATGTTGTGCTTCAGTTTTTCAAGCTAACAGTGAAGGTGTGATGGCCTGGCAGCCCCTTTGGGAAGCGGCTGCAGCAAAAGGCAGATTTACACGCTAACCTTTCCCATCTGTGAGCTCAGGACCAGCCTCAAGCTGGCCTGTGGTACTCATCACAGCTGCATCCAGACCCTGTTCAGAAAAACACAGCAGCTTGAATCTGCTAGTATCTCTGAGAGCTAAATACATGCCTAAACTGGCTCGGGACAAGGCTCTGGAGGGGTGTATCACAGCTGGCATCAGCCAGGGCTGTACACAAGAGGCAAGGCAGCCCTGAGCATAGGCATCCAGCCCAGCAGGAAGAGGGCCCAGGAAGGGATGGGGAGCCCCAGGATAACTTTATGCCTTTTGCCAGCAGACCTGGCCAAGGGAGGCTTCCTGCCCCACTGAAGTCACTGGGCCACTCCTGGGGAGGTGAGTGATGATTTGCCATGCCTCCCCACTGCTGCCCCAGCTGCTCTGCACCCCCTCCCTGGGAAGCCAAATTAAGGGTTGTGCTCTGTAAGCAGCAGCAGAGAGGACATGAGAGACTACAAGCCATGGAACACACCCCACCGCCCCCCCCCCCCAGCTTTCTCCTATCCTTATGTTGATGGCCTTTAACCCCTCAAACTGTCTCCAGGAGGATGGGAAGAGTAGGGGGTAAAGCATCATTCTCCCTTGCCCGGGAACCTTTGACAGGATGGGGATCTCAGAGGGGGACATCAGTTCTGGCCAGGAGTTTCACAATACCCAAGACTTTCAGTCTGGGATGTCAGATCAGGACCCTTCCTTGTTTCCCAATTCAAACTTGAGGAGCCTGTTAATTGTCTAATCCTGCCAGCCCCCAGCATGGAGGCATTTAACCACAGTGCAAAGAAACGGTGCTTGTAAATGCCTGGGTATCCAGACACAGTGAGCAAGTAAACACGATGGGCAAAGATCTCGGCTGGAATGACAAATAGTGAGGAAAACTTCAAAAAGCTCAGCTGGAATGCAGGTGCTGTGCCTGGAATCAATGCCTCCATTAATGCAATGAACTTACCTCCAGTAATGTAAAACTTTAACTGGCAGAGACCAGTGCAAAGATTAGTGGTCTTGCACTCATCTTCTTTTTGTTTTTTTTCTCTTCCGCTTCCTCTGTAGAAAGTACAATTTGTGCCCATGTGAAGTCTGGCTGACTGACAGCATCATCCAATGAGTCTGTAGCTTGTGTAGCTTGGCAGCCGGACCCATCAGGAGCTTATCTGGAAGGGAATGGCATTAATCAGCATTAATCACTTTCTTGCATGATTCAGACTTTGGCATGTCTTCTACGGATGCCACCATCCCCCCTACTCCTGCAGCTCTTCTCATCTATGACATCAAGGACAGCAAAGCCTGAGCCAGAGTGAGACCAGCTCAGACCAGCTTTTGCAGATGTGCAAAGTTCATGACTACCGAGTAACACAAGCCAAAGGGCTGCGATGTTTGGCAGCATCAGTAGTATTTGCTAGCATCAGCAGTATTTCATAGCACAGCACTTGGCTGGTGGTGCTGAAAGGCTCAGCACTTGTGTCTTTTAGGGCATTTTAACAAAGCCATGAAATGCTATTGTAATATTCTGGATAATTTTGCTATGTTATATCTCTAAATCCACATAAAACTGTCTCTTCTCAATGCTCAGGATGCATACATATGGGTGTGTACTAGCATTATAGCTCTGTGTTGAAGGGGCTGTGTGTGTGCAGGTATGGAGAGACCTGCGCACATCTGTGTTTATGTATGTTTGGCTGTGTATGTTATATACACACATAAACATATTTTAAAACAGTGCTAAGTGCTACCTAAATAAAATGCTCTTAGTCATTTTCTAGCTTCTTTGCTACATATGCTGGAAAGGTTTCTTCTTGCTAATTCAGCAAGAGGTTTGTAACATAGCATATAAATCAGGCACAGAAACCACAAAAAGTGTTGAACACCTCAAAATAGGTTCCCAAGTCATCTTAAGGACAGCTCCAAACCAACCTTTCAGCTGGATCATTTGAATTTCCCAGGTCCACTCTATTACTCTTCGCAGGTCTCCCATTGTTCCATTTGTCCCCAAAACTGGGATTGGTAGCTGCTGCTCTGAGTCAACCAGTAGCCAAATAACGCATGGAAGGCTTGGGTTTCTCATTAACTCCAGAGCTTATATAGTCCCATCTCACAGAGCACCAGCCACTTCTACTGCCTTCATCCTCCTTCCCTGCCCAAGCTCTCACATTGCTTGGCAGCCCAGGCCAGTGACTGCTCTTGGGAGGACAGCAGAGGAGCTGCGGGATGGACGAGAAAAGCAAAATCCAAGCAGAGAAGGTAACCATGACTTGGTGATATTTTTGTGCTAGAATTTCTTCAGGACCCAGCACTGAGCAATGGTATTTAGTGCTTGCCAAGATCAAAACCAATTAAAAAATCCCCTCCCCTAATTAACTGCTGTTTGATGTCTGTATACTGAGCACAGGGGCAGAGGGGTCAAGGGGTTATTTGTTTTTAAGAGCTCTGTTGTCTTTGTGATGGAAGGAAATAATACTTGGCACAGCACTGCCGAAAAACACCAATTTTGGTCATTTTTAGCTTGCTGATCTACTTCAGGGGTGGTTCTGAAGATGGGGCAGGGCACATTCCTGCTGCTCCTGTGCTGCTGTACCGGGCAGAGCTCCTGCTCACTGTGAGCACTGGCGTTAACACTGGCAGCACAGCAGAGACAGCCTCGGCACAGACTGCTCTTTGTGGGGCAACTCTGCTCTGTCCTAGGGGCCTGATCCTGCGCACTTCCAGGGACCTTCCCTTCTCCTTTGGAGCCAGCCAAAGTGCCTGGATGCTGCTGTCCCAGCCAGCTGGGCAGCAGCATCCCTCGGGACAGAACGGGGGCAGCCCCCCCAGGTTTGGGCAGGGCTGGGATAGTAGGATGAGGCTGTTCTCTGCTCCCTTCCCCAGCACCTCACAGGAACACTGGTTCTCTCTGTCTTCACCGCGGTGTTGGGCTTCTTCCAGTACGGCTACAGCTTGGGTGTCATTAACGCCCCCCAGAAGGTAAGATGAGCCCCTAAGCTGTGCATAGGCAAGGGATGAGGGCTTCAGGGCAGCCAGGGCTGGTCTGTCACGTGTAGAAGCCCTCAGGGAGAGCTCTGTCCTTTTCCCAGTCACTGTCTCCCGCAGTACAAAGCCCAAAGGTTTTGTACTGTTTTTTAAGGCAACGGATGGGAAAACAGTGATGACCCCTGCTGCCACCCCTCAGCAAAAGGAGCAGGGCTCTGCCTGTCAGGCTGCCATCCGCACTGCAACACGGTCTCTGTGCTCAGACCAAGGGACTGCACCTCCCCACAGGTGCTGAATCCGGACACCCCATCCCCGGGGAGTGGTGTTGGATGAGGGGGATACTGCATTCCTGCCGTTGTGGTCCCTCCCCACTGGGGAGCTGTGGGGGACCCCAAGATTTCAACCCTCCAGAGCCTGTTTTTCCTAGGGCAACAAAAGAAACAAAACGGGCTGGGGTGGTTATAGATTTGAGCTGATGGCATTTTCTTCTTTGCCCACCACAGGTGATAGAAGCCCACTACAGCCGTGTGCTGGGCATTGCTCCCCTCAACAGACATGCCACCAATGCCTCTGGGGAGGATGACACTGTCCCTAGCACGCAGCCCTGGGCTGGCACCACGGGCACACTCACACCTGTGGCTGACACCGGCGAGGACCTCACCACCTCCTCACACATCCTCACCATGTACTGGTCCCTCTCCGTCTCCATGTTTGCTATCGGCGGCATGATCTCCTCGTTCACCGTGGGGTGGATCGGTGACCGGCTGGGGAGGTGAGAGCACATTGTGTGCTGTGACTTGTCTGCCTCAGCCAAATCCTTTTTGTTTGACTTTTCCCCTAGAAACATTTCTTCCCCATAGAAATACCATTTATGTTCTTTTCCCAATTTAATTTTAAACATACACACCCCAAAATCCAAACCTCTGAAATACTGCTCCAGCCATCACAGAGGTCTGGCTTACAGAAATCCTCACTTATAAATCAAACATTTGATTGCAACTTTCAGCACTTCAGACAAGCAGCTGCTGAGCAGCCTTGATTAACTTTCCAATTCTTTCTCCCTTTTTTTCCATGGCAAAAGGGAGAGGAGAGCATCTGACTGGTGCTGGCACAGGATATATACTTTTAGCTACTCTGCCTGATATTTTCAGGCCTGTGACCATTATTTTTAACCCTGCTGTGCTGATTAAGCCACTTCATAGCTCTGATTGTATGCCATGATGCCTGAGTTGGCTGAGAGGTGCCAGAAGGAGCTGTGCTGGTGCTGCCTTGCAGGGTGAAAGCCATGCTGGTGGTGAACATCCTCTCCATTGCTGGGAACCTCCTCATGGGGCTGGCGAAATTTGGGCCGTCTCACTTACTCATCATCACCGGGAGAGCAGTCACAGGGCTGTACTGCGGTAAGTCCAGGCAGGTCAAGCACTGCAGACCAGCCCCCTGGTAGGGTGCTGGCTGCTCCCAGGCTGCAGCTAAGAGTTTCCTATATTTTTTAATCTTTTTTTCTTTATTCAGGAAGGGTTTCACAGGGTTTTCACACAGGAGTTTCTCTCTTTTCCCTATGTCCTTACTTCTCAATCCAGGATCCTTCCCAGAAGTATTTGAGTTGGCTTTATCATGAAATTGGTTTATTTTACATCCCAGAAAGCAGCAAGTCCCTCCTCTGTATACCTTGGTCTTGCTGGTGGCTGTTATAACAGTACGATATTAACCATGCTGTTTAATGGGTTCCCTAGACAACAGAATTATCTAGCAGATAGTAAAGGAGTACTGTACATACAGAGGATAAGATAGTAGGCAAATAACATGGAATTACATTAGAATTAGCTTAGAAACATCAGCTTATCATTACTGTTACTGATATGCAAATACAGTACTCTGAAGTTTCAAGGCAAGTTTTCAGAAAGCTCTTTGCTCTGTGATAACTGCCCAGTGGATGATCTCTGCTCCATGCTCGTATGTGTATGTTCAAGTGTAAAGGCTCCTTGGCTTGGGGCTCTGAATCCAGGGATATCCAAGCACCTTTGCAAAAGGCAGGTGGTTCCCATCCAGGCACAGGGAGCTTGGTGGGATGTGGGAGGCAGCACACAGGCTCCATCCTCCCTTCCCACCTGGGAAGCGGTTTCTGCTGGTTGCTGACTTGTGATCTACAAGAGGTGATACCTGCATGTGCTTGGTGCAGGGCTCTCCTCTGGACTTGTGCCCATGTATGTCAGCGAGGTCTCTCCCACGGCCCTCCGAGGAGCACTGGGGACACTGCACCAGCTTGCTATCGTCACGGGTATCCTCATCAGCCAGGTAAGCAGGAAAGCACACGAGTCCAGAGATGGTATTTTAAGAGATTAGGGATACCCCAGTGATACACACGGATGTCACTCATCAATCCACCCCAAACTGAAAAACAGTGCAAAGCAATCTGCTCTAATGAGGTTAAACTCCTACCTTGAGTGAGAGCTGCCTTAACAAAGATAACTTCTCATGAAATAAAAAGTACTTCTGCAAAGAGTTTCTCCCTTCCCTAGGAAGTTTTTGTAAGAATCTCATCAGTGTCAGGCTGGATCCTGAACACAAGATCTCTAATATTCAGGTTATCAAAAATTACTTCATCAGAGAATCAGGGAGCCCAATGTTCCCCTCAGCATTGTCCACCATGGCAGGAGTCCCAGCTATGTGACAGTTGGGCACATAAATATACCACAAACCAACACATCCAGAAAAACTTAACCTCAAAGCTCATGTAATCTGATTTAGCCAAAGACCATGGACAGATCATGGGTTAAAAAAAGTTCACAAGCTAGGTCCCGCAGCTCCACTACCTGGGCAATACAATGCTTTTCAAATTACAGAAGGAAAAAAGTTACAAGGGCACACAAACTACCTGGAATACCTTTTTCAATGGTCAATAATCACACACTAAAGCAAAGCTCAAATCAGTTGCAGCCCCAATGCTCAGACTGTGCTGGTCACCACCCAGGTATCTGGGGTACCCCATGCTGCATGGACCTCTACCCATGCCCTGCCCCTTTGTGGAGTTGCTTAGGACACATATGCCCATAAGACCTCCTACCTAAAACCCTTGATATAGCAAGGTCTGAGGAGGAAACATTTCACCAGCATGCTTGTATTTGCTGAGCTGTTTACACAGTGGTTCTATCCAGGCACAGGTCTCCTGCTGGTGGCATGTCCCAAGGAGGACCGAGTCACTGCAGGGTGTCCCACAGCACCTGTAAGCCAAAGTCTCACTCATGACATTTTATGCCATCTGTTCATTCCCTCCTTGTAAGTGTGTATTGTAACTAAAGAAATCAAACTGTTAGGACTGAGAGTTGTATTTGCTTCTAGTCTTCTTCCAGGTTGTCACTTCCAAATGCCATAGTGGGCAACCACTTTCATTTTCTAGGCATGCAAAATAAGCTATTCAAACATGCCTCAATCTTTCCAGGTCCTTGGACTAGACTTTCTCCTGGGCAACGATGAGTTGTGGCCCCTGCTCCTCAGTCTGTCTGGTGTGGCTGCCCTCCTGCAGTTCTTCTTGCTCTTACTGTGCCCTGAGAGTCCCCGTTACCTTTACATCAAACTGGGGAAGGTGGAGGAAGCTAAAAAAAGTAAGACACATTCTGGGCTTGTCTAAAGTTGTTTTTATACTATGTATAG